GATGATTTCAAACAGATAAATCCTGGTAGAGTAGCTGCATGGTGAACAAGAAAAACCCACATAAGATAAAAAATAATAAAGAAAATCACTTTGAATTTTGCTCATTGCAAACTGTTTCACATGCATGTTCATCCTTTCTTCATTGTATATATATCTCCACTGATGATACTCTGAGTCCTCATAAAATCCCAGTATGTGTGTATTGTTCATGGCTGTGCAGGTGCAGGGATGTTTTTCACATTCTCTCTACAGCTTCTCTCCCACTGAGTTAGAGCTGAGATTCGACCGCTTCTCCTCACTCGCTCCCGGGTTGAACTTCTGCAGAAGCTCCACTGCAAACAGAGGCACCACCTGGACCAACAGGGCACAGTGCAACATGCTATCAGTGAGCTTACGAGGACCTCTTCTGGTGATTTACACCGTTACAACTGCGGTCTGACTGACGAGGGCCATTCAGGATGGAACCTTGTATAAATTCCCTTGATCCAGAGTTTTATTTGGATCTAAACCTAATGGCACACGTTCAAAAAATAATTAATATCAGTCCCCCGAACATGTCAGATTTATTTTTTTAATCAAGATCCATCAATTATTCTCTGAGAAATAAATGAAAATGTTGAAATATTTCACACACAAAAAAATCCTGGGTCCGCTCCCTGATTTGGATCCACATAAAAATGTTCATGGGTTCTTCCTTGACCCAAACTGCATCCTTCTGCCAGGTTTCACTGAAATCTGTCAGGTGGTTTTGGTGTATTCTTGCTAACTAACTCAGTTGAAAACATAATCTTTCTGCCAGAGATCATTCTGAGGCTCTACTTGAATTTCAAATTTTGACTGAATCAAAGTTTTGATTGAGGATTTAGTTTTCTCTGACGAAGTTTAAATAAAAGAATCTACATTTTCATGGGGAAAAAAATGCATGTTGGAGATTTTCTAGATTAATGTGAATGTGTGTAAAACATCTTTCTTGTCCAGTCCAGTCACTGTGATCACGGAGGACTCTGTACCTGGTGAGGATCCGATTATATATATATATATATATATAATTAAATTTACATTTTTCAATTGAATCCCTGAGCAGGAGGAGACAACCAAAAACAAACTGAGCTGGTTAATCACTGACCTGTGCCATGATCAGCTTCCTGGTTTTCACTACATGAGGGTCTGGATACTCTTCTCCAAAGCAGAGCTCGATCTCATAAGAAGGGGCGGGTCCTTTTCCCCGTAAACTCCTCTGCAGCTCTGCACGGACATATGGAATATTCACATTCAGCATTTAAACACATTGCCTTTTTGCATAGAAAACATTTATTTCATTCCACTGCCAATGATCCCAGTTAATCTGTCGCTCTGTCACTAAATCATGTTCCAGCGAGGTTTACATGACGAAACGATACATGATGAGTTCTCGTGTGCTGCCTTACCGCAGATAAATCTGGGTATGTCAAGCAGTTTGAAGGTCTTTTCTCGCTCAAGTTTGTTGGGTGCATCGGTGTGTTGGGCCAAGGGGCCGCTCCAGTACACTCTGCCCTGGCAGAAACGCTTGATGAACACCCCGTCTGGGGCCACCCATAATAGCACGCCCCGTTCCAGGTGACAAAGCAGGCGATTCATTGCTTCGGCCATGCATGATGGCAGGGAAACAGAGCCCGGGGAGGGGAACGAGAGCTGCTGGGCAGTGCAGGGTCCATAGATGCGTTCGTTTCCCCAGGGAACGTGGCCCTGCAGGATGAAGCACCCCTCTGGGCTGCTGGTGATCACTTTCATCACCCTCTGACCCTGGTACAACAAGGTCACCTGCATACGAAAGTCTACACAAGACCGATTTGTTTTTTAGGTCATACAGCGAAAAGCTCCAGTCACATATTCAGAAGGTTTGATTTGTGTTTCTTACCTGATACTGTGAGTCCATGGCTGATGAAGGTGGCAGGAGCAGGGACAGGGTTTTGAGTTTTCTCTCCTTTTATGTCACAATACATGTGCTCCGACATCAGATCCACTGAAGCAGAGCAGGGATGAAACATTCTCAATTCTGTGACCCCAAGATTACATGTTGATGATTTTTTTTATTATTTTAAAATTAAGTTCATTATGGTAAAATCCCAATTAAGGCCCAACATAGATTCATTTTTATATTTTTTTTTCAATACAGGCCCCAAATGTCTCCCAATACAAAAGGGGTCCTTGGATTCTAACATTACTAAGTCCAACATAATCGACTGTAGACTTTCTTGAGTTATTTTTCCTGTTTTATTACATCTTAATGTCCCTGGTATTCGTCCACAGGAAATTTTTGTCTCTCTGATATCTATGGGCAGGATTTTCCATTTAATTTAGAAATGAAGTGCAGAACCCTCTGTGTGTGTAACACTTACCATGCCACGTTTTTTCTTCTTCTATATTAGCCTGAAATGATTCATTTTGAAAAGGACGCTACAAAAAAAACAGAGACAATAAAAAAGTAACACAGAACAATGTTTTTCTTATAACAGAGAAAATCATTTATTTATCTGACTCCAGAGCTGCAGGATCCAGATCTGACACAACTT